GGATCATGATATACTTACATTATACCTCACTCAGGCTATATCTCCTATAAGGCCATGGTATAAATGGTCACAAGCAAACAAAGAATTTTCCGTTTTGACTGCTGTAGTTGAACTTAGTTGAACATGAATTTCTTACAGTTAATAAGATATTCAAGTTAGTCACAATGTGATACTGTCAAATTATTGTGACACTAGGTGCGGGGTTTGCATCCCAATTATTACGGCTTCTTTGCAATTCATTCGATTCTGTCCCCAAGCAAATGTCAAAATTGAACAATCATATTAAATGTGAAATAACGTTAGCATAGAAAAAATACTTAGTGCCATAGACTGCTGCTCACATTCTGAAATTTTCAGATCCACAAGAAGTACTTTCTCTAATGTATGGACCCTGGCATCTGAGAATTGCTGCTGACAACCAGATTCGTTATGTCTTTCCTTGTTATAGATCTGACAGTTACCTTCGACCGAGTCGATAGGGGCGGTGAGGTAGCCTAGTGGTTAAAGCGTTCGCTCGTCACGCCGAAGGCCCGGGTTCGATTCCCCACATGGGTACAACTTGTGAAGCCCATTTCTGGTGTCCTCCGCCGTGACATTGCTGGAATATTGCTAAAAACGGCGTAAAACCATACTCAATCAGCCAGCCAGTCAATCGAGTCGATAATTTACTGTTTGACAAATTGTACATCAGAACAAAATGAAGAAACGAATATATTCTACAAGTTCTCAACACAAAAAAACATTCAGCATGGAACGTCATCTTAAGATGGAGAAAATATGATGGCCCCATTTTGCGAAAAACTAATCATATTACACCAAGACATATAATGCAATATCGAGCTGCAATACTTATTTCTCATATATAACAAAATAGTCAATCCAAATGCAGCAATGGTACATCATATAACTTGACCCGAGAAGGTCATGTTAGAACAGGCCTTCGGCAATACATAGAACTGTTGTAAATGGTGGCTAAAGAGATCAGTGTTTGTGGTAGCTGGCTTAGCTGGTGCATGCTCCGTGGATAAATGATCGTGATGTTAATGTCCGGTCCAGACTCGATTATTTACAGACTACCGTCATATAATTTGAATATTACTGGCTACGGCGCTACCTGTTCTTCAAGTTGAACCTTTAGACCATGTCCCATTTTCTACATTGTAATAACAAGCCGACGAATCAACTGACCAGAGAATATCCATGTAAAGGTCTATCACCTTTGGAAAAACAGTCTCTGAGGAAATCTAAAAACCAGGCCAGTTCTTGTGCAAGTACTTAAACGTCCGAAAGTGCATGACGATCAATGGTCCTTGCAAAACCGAAAAGCTCTATTGAAAGTATCCATCATGTAAAGTTTCAATTATCCTGGTAATTTACTTTGAAATTCCAAGAAGAATAGATTGAAAGGTCTATCAATTATTTTAAAAAAAAAAAAGTAACTTAAAGTAACGAAACCTAGCTCTTATGCGATGGTGTTTTCTTAAATAGTAATGTGTTCATACGTTTGGAACATGTTTTGTTAAAGCCAAAGATGAATGCTAACTTGATAACCTTAACATGCTGATAATGCTTAGAGGTATTATGTTTCACACTGTTTCGGCCATGCAACCATGAACTATAGATTAAATTTCAAAACTGAAGGCCTGTTTCACCTCTCCACTATTCCAGCTGATTGCACGTATAGTTTCTGAATAACTAAACTATCGACTTCATACGGTCGCTGCGTCAAGCTGTGTGAAAAGTCACATTATGTATTGCACGGAGTTCTGATTAACTGCGCTTAGGGGCATACCAGCATCGGGTGTGTCCTTGTCACTGGGGCGGATCTGAAACTAAAGTTGTCCAGATGAACACCGACCTGTTTTAACAACCGGCCATCGTGTTCTTTATGAGCACAAACCTTCGCAGGGTATGTCCTTCAGTGATACTCCCACAACTGTTAACGTCATCCATACACATTACAATTGTGATAATGTCCCGTATCTGGGCAACACTAACAGTTATTAAAGTTTTAAAGGGTTTTGAACAACTTATAAGGTGGGGGAACATTGATCGGTTTCCCATCCCGGCGTTTTGGAAACCCATATCTTCGCCTGACTTTGCCCGTCTACTATAACTGGCTAACGACATTTCTATGATGTATCGATCTCATTTATGGTTGGTTCAGAAAGATGTTTCGTAGTTTCACGAAGCTATTGTTCCTGCTGTGATACAGATTTGTAGATCTGTATGTGGTCAAGATGTAAACATTGCAATAAAAAGAGAAACACGTTAATAAAAATACAATCTTGACGATGCAGTGCTGTAGGCGGAACGTATCGCCGTTTAAACCACATGAAAATGAGCTTTAAAACAGCAAACTTCAATGATGTGTCTGCGTTCAAACAACAATTCTAACATGCCATTCTTTATTCACAAGATTAATAAAACCTTACTTTATTTTACTGTAATACCGTGGCTTTAGTGTTATCAAATAGCAAATCATACTGATAAAGTTACCATCCAAGCAACAACACAATGATAATGGCGTCATCGCGCTTTGTAATAGTAATGTAAAAAATAAAGTGTGAACAAATAATCACTCAGTTATAAAATATGATAGTAACGTTAATTTGGCAATGTTTTTTCTTGATTGGTTGAATGAAGCGTGTTTTACCATTTGCCTTAATGCTAATATTTTTGTCATTAAAGAACGTACCGTACAAATAAAACATTATTACACGAAGTTCAATACCTCGGGATAGAAGCTGCACCTCCCAGCTCATAAAACAGCTAAGCAACTACAGCAGTCGTGTCTACTCCATAAACATGGCCATGACGTACAAACTATATCAGCACAATGCATTTGTAAAACGGAATGTCGAACCAACACTATGATGAAAATATTGAACATAAAATCCACAAAACATCATCAGATATTATCACAGAAATGTTGTAAATTTTTAGTCGAATAAGGTGGGGTGATAGCCCACTGGTTAAAGCATTTGCTCATCACGCCAAAGGCCCGGGTTCGCTCACTACAAATATTGTGTGTAGTCCATTTCCGGTGTGCCCCGCCGCGATGTTGCGGGCTGCTGATGAAAGCGGCTTAAAACTAGCCACTCACTCACCCTTTCGAGTCCTTAAATGAGCATCACAATGTAAAGGACTCTTCAATAACACTCATTAACGATGATAACAATTAAACAATACCAATGCCACGGATGGATGGCGACATGGGAATGTAACACTGTATGAATGCATGAATATACAATAAGCTAATAAATATCTTCAGTCAGGGAATAACTATGTCAGTGGAATATGTCATTGCCAACAGCTGTCAGTCTCAAAATGTGGATGTTTGATTATTTTGAGTTCAATGTGCAGTAATCACGGTTTTAACTCACCCCAAAATCTAACAAAATACCTTTACCGATCTAATCTAATTACAATACCACGATGCTTATCTTGACTCAAATTATTTACGTGATTAACAGGTGCTTGATTTGTCACCTCCATGTGATCGACCCTGGACTGCCTTTTGCTTGAATCTGTGTCATTGTCAGAGTAGGATTCATCCAATTCATGCCAACTCATGAATGTACAGAAGAAAATACACTTCGAGGGACGCGTCGGGGACGTCTGGAATAGCCAATGGACCGGGCCAAAATTCCAATGAAGGTCGGTTACATGCTTAATCTGGTACTTCTTGGCGCACAAAAACGAACAGAGCCAGCTACCGATTGTAGCTCAGATTAAGATTCATCCCCTGAAAGGTAACGGTACTGTGCGTCCTACTGGATTTAGGTAATTTCGTTGTCAGTAATATCCCACGTGGCCCACGTGAATGTATAGGGGCAGCAAGACTATTTATTACCTGGATAAACAGGCCCACCGACATTTAACTGAGACATATAGAAAGAAAAGTAGAAACTGAAAAACTGTCTACTCCGCCCAACACACACACACACACACACACACACACACCTCATCCATTTACCGCCTGGACTACCAGCTTAATGGAAATAGACGGTAAGAACGTTCTCGACATGCCATTCCAGAAGACCTTCAAGCTATACTTTTTTATTGAATAATTTACCTTAGCGACCATTTACATACTTTAAGAGATCACTTTTTTGCAACATATTTATATTTCGACAAAACGTCAAGTGATTTTGGAAAAAATAAGCCAATCAAGGAATTAAAAAGTGCCAAATGTTAACTTCATAAAAAGCAACGTGTAATGAACCAATGACCTTGCAGTCTTTTTGAGAATATCATTTTTTGTCTTGTCGACACAGTCATGTATTTTTGCAGATAATGGAGTTAAATGGTATACGATATGGCCTGTTGTCAGCCAGTGTTTCGTGATAAATCCAAATTCATCATGATTCAGACACACCAATATTGACTTTGCGTACGTAGTATACTCAGTGACGTCCATCCGTAATTAATCTTTGCTACAAGACGACAATGCTCCCCTCGCGGGAATCCATCGCAATAAATTTAGGAGGTTAAAGTGGATCTCTTGTTTCATATAAAATACGCGCGTAATGATATTCGCTGGTAACGTCATGCTGCTGCACGTGCGCTTCGTTCAGTGGTTTCACTACTACAAATGAAATATATATCAACTGACATCAAAATGCTGCCAGCGCTGACAATTCATTTCGAAGACGGCTAGAAATAGCAAAAGAGACTTTCTTTTCTCAGAAGATGAAACAAATGTGGTATTTTAGAAATTGATATATACATCCTACAGCGTCTATGCGTTTTTTTCTAAAAGTGATTATTGTCGAGGTATCTATATTACGCAAACAAAATAGGGTGGTATACTATTCTTCACATGGAACGCGATCGTACTACTTTATTATACGAAGAAGCATAGAACTCGGGATGCTTGGTTCTAACGTTACGTTTCATTTTCATGCCAAGTAGTTAAGGATACGTGCATGTTAAAAGAAGACTGTTATTTCAGATTAATACTATTTGGGAACCAGCAAGCTTAAAATAACGAGAAATTATTTTCAAATTGACTTTTAATCTGGAGAATTGAGTTCTTAAATCATATTCACAACTGAAGAAGAATGGTTTTGTTTTCACAAAGTACATATGTATTACTGTAATGTAATACTGACATGAAGTCTTGACACCCATGTAGAAGTAGGGGAGTTCCAAGCACTACTCTAAACCTACAATAATATGGTCGAACACTACCAGAAGGGTAATGTAATGTTTCCTCACAAAATGAAAAATATTTTCATGAGGTTTGTTTGAAAAGCAGTCTGTGAACGGTACCTGACCGAAAACAAATCGGAAAAAAGCAATCACTTTACCGCATTTGAAGTTAAGGACAATTAGATTTATCTTTGGTGTCTGTCCAAAGATATAATTGCAACATAAATCTGAACTCGACATCACTTGACTAGAGCATTTACCATGCCGTTACTGAGTGTGACGTAAAACGACTTCTACGACATCTAACACCCAAGCTGCTCAGTGAAGGGCGGGAGACCGATCACAACAATGACTGTCTTAGGTCAGCTTCTGTCTGATCCTCATCACTCACATATTCGTCCTCTTCAACGTGGGGACTATGTTCTAGCTTATTGCTCCGCCGACAGTTTTCAGAGTTTTGTCTATTGTAGAGAGAGTTCTGGTCAGCTTCGACTTTTTGCCAGATTAATTTATTCTTATCTTCTAAACTTGAAGGTCGTTTCTCACTACAATACAATTTGATAGCTTCTCCATCGGAACTATCTTGTCGGGCGTAAGACGAATCACTCAGGAAAGATGTCTCTGTATTACTACTCAAATTTGTGTCCAGACTTGACTGTTTGTCACATGACATTCTACCACTGCGACGTCTGGCGTCGCGTTGATTGGCCGGATAAAGAATTACATATTCGCTTGCGCTTCTGACACGTTTTTCTCCTTGATCATCATCATCTACGAATTCAGTGTACACTTCTGGAACGTCCATGTTGAAATCCTGGACTTCAAAATCGTCAAGAATTTGGGTTGTCTCGGGAACGGTGCTGAGTTTCCTCTCTTTAGTCTTATCTCCAGGCGAAAGTAACACTGGAGAACTGTAATTATTGGGACTCACCCCTCCAGACGAGATAGGAGACACCTTGGGCGTAATCACAGGTGTTGTAACAGGCGTACTCTGCGGCGTGGCTTTGGGCGTACTTCCGTTTAGAGACATCTTCGATCCTTTGTGACTCTGTGTTAGATGAGACAACATTGACATGCTGGAAGGATGTTGGACGTTATGAAGGACCAGACCGTTATTCTTCGACTGAGACATAGACCTGCTCATATAAGTACCTTTGTATCTGTTAGCACGTTCAGTACATATGCCGTACCTGGCCAACAGAATGAACACATCTTTTCTGAATTGTTTGGTTAGAATTACATACAAGAACGGATTAGCACAAGAATTGAGAGGGTAGAAGAACACGAGTAATATTTTTGAATTAGTAATGTCAATCAGGGGAAATCCCGCTCCCGCAGTTAATCCAAAGAAGGCTATTGGTGCCCAACAAGCGAAATTTGTAAACACAAGCAAGGACATCCTCTTGGCAATCGTAGCGTCATTGCTTCGCGCTGCAGAGTCACTGTCTTTAACCTTGAAGTACATGCTGACGTAACACCCACAAATAACAATAAAGGCCGTTCCATTGAGAAGCAGGATGGAGAAGATGTAGCCCTTGTCCAGAACTCCTTCCACCTGCATTGGGAGGCAAATACTGACGGTGCCGTAGCTGCTGACGCCTATGAGAGGAAGGGAAGCCATTATGACAGCATACAGCCACCCGCATACCATCAGGCAGGACGCTTGTCTTAGTCGTAGTCTCTTTGTGAGGTGGATGGCATAGCTGATGGCGTACCATCTCTCCATAGTGATCACCATTAGGACGAACACCGACAACTCGCTTGAAAACACGGTGAGGAATCCTGCCACTTGACATCCCCCGTCGTTCTGCCAGTACACCGCGTGGTTGAAGTACTCCCCAAAGAGTGCGCGTCTATCGAGGCAAGGAGGAGGAGGTAGAGCCCCATGATGAAGTCAGCAAATGATAAGTTACACATGAGGAACTTCGGGACGGTCATCTTGCTCCTGCCAGTAATTATCACTATTATCACAATGACATTCCCGCACAGCGTTGCTAAGAGAACAAACCAAACAAACACTCGCAACCATTCATATCCCATGACATCTTCGCACGGGTTCAGGGCATTAGGCTGGGGTGTACATAAAACCTTCCTGTAATTGATGGACACATTCCCACACTGGACCTCTTTGAGAATAGTTTCATTTTCAGGGAGAGTCACATTAACATAATATCCTATTTTTATAGGCATGGTTTTCTTCGTAGTTCTTGACGCTGCCGTTGACCCTTCAGGCAACCTAAAAGACCCGAAACCGGAATCATCGGGTATATCGTCACTAATGTCCTCTATACTTCCCCAAAAGCCATCACTTGTCGCGTATCTTTTGCTTCTCATAGCTGCTCCGGGTTCGTGCGGGATCTGAGAAGAGGAACTGGGTGGCCAGGCTGGAGTTGAGGAAGGTGTCATGGAACATTCCTTCTTGAGTTTCTCCTGGAACTCCTTTACTCTCCTCCACAGCTCCGGATCCTGCTTCTCTGGGTGCTGGAAGGCACAGCAGTGATGGGCGTAGTACAGTCTGGCCACCTTCATACTGGAAAATGTAAGAACTGGAGGAAACGCCTTCAGTGTGGGCGTGTCCTCCACGTTGATCTCCTCGATGTTCTCTAGCCCCTCCGTCGGCAGGTTGGTAATACTCGTTTTTGAAAGGTTCCTGTAAATATGAGGTTGTCATAGTTATTACATTTTCAGGTGTCAGATACAGATGTTTGTAACTGTACCTTGTGTTTCTAGATTATCTTTTACTAATTTCATGCCCGCCGCAAAATAGCTGGAATATTGCTGAGTGCGGCGTAAAACTCAACTCACTCACTCACTCGCTCACTAATTTTATGCAAATAACTAAAGGCAGTCTCATTGAAATGAGGTTTATTTCTGGGGACATTCCATTCCAGGTAACATCATTACGACCTTTCGTAGACTTTGACCGACCGAATATCGACTTAGATTCTAAAACCTGAATAAAATAACATTCTTGAAGGTCTGGCAGACAGCCGAAAATGAATGACAGTACTTCCGGGTGGGAAAAGTCTCTTCCGTTTCGAGTGTTGATCCCACTGACGCTAGAGAGACTATCATTTTAACTGAATCAGTCATACAGCCCGTAAATACCGTTCGGAATACGTCGCCGACCATTTCGAGTTTGCGTAATTACAGAATACACCCCGTGTGTCATTTGCTTGCTCTGCGACGCTCTGATCGATCCAATGAAAGATCGTTTTGATGTCTTCAGTCATTTGTCTAGGGTCTCGAGAAGAGATTCTATTGAGATTCAACTAAACACAACATGTGTAAAATAGCACATTTTAAGTAGCTCGAAGGTCTGAATTTTTTCTATTATTTCAGATATCTACTTTTTAAACATTTGAAAATAAGGAACAATTATTTATATATCTAAATAAATCGGGATAATCTAAATAAGACAGTTATTCCTTGTCGTTGACATACTGACGCTCCAGTTAGACAACAGTTAGATGGCCATATTTTGAAACTCAGAACTGTAAGCCGCATGTTTCACATCATCTGGGGTTTTTTTTAAAGAAAAGATCAGTACAAGCCCTAATGAGTTGTGGTTCTTTTTCAACAAGCGAGTTTTATTCTTCTTTCTTGTGTTTCAAAAAAACTACTTTTACGAAGAACGATTGCCATTTCACGTGAGTGACTGTAGTTTAGTATGATAAATATTCTTATATTTTTAGCCTTGTTTTAAGTGAATAATTACAATTGACAAACACTTCTGACATTTTCTAAAAGAAAATGATCTACACCAGACATAAAACAATCACTGAATTGTTCTTCTATGGAACCTTTGCGACCTGGGTATCGTCAATCTGAGAAAACGTCCACTGTGTCTTCTATATTTTAAATTCATTCTCACTTTGCCCTTTAAATAAGGATTCTTGTATACATTCCAGTGTTTGAGACGAAGATGTGTGATTATACATCTTGCATGAACCACTTTACAAACGTCAAATTTTTGTTATCAGATATACATTCACACATGTGAACCCCCACCCCCCCCGAAATTAATAGTTTAGAACTGATTATATAAAGCAGTTGATATCAAATGTCAGCTGCTATGACTCACAAACCTTTTGTACGACGGAAGTTGCGTTGGAGAATAATGTTTTCTGTTAGTAGGTTGTCTCTGTACCCCGTTGAAGAGGATGCAGGCTACAGACCGAGTCCTTTATGACTGCGTGGTATAACAGCATCGACCCACTTAGTTCGAAATATGGACAATTTAGTAAGAACTTGAATGAGAAATATGTGTTTATGCACGTTGTATTATTATAGAAAATACTTACACTGAGACCAGGTCTCTGATGCCAATGAAAGCTTTCTCCCCAAGGAATGACAAGTGCGGATTGTTTGTAAACTCCCTATAAAGCAATAAAGAAAAATACAAAATATATAACAAAATTTGGATATTTACCATTAAAACCTTAAGAACACACACACACGCACGCACGCACGCACGCAAGCACGCAAGCACGCACGCACACACACACACACTGAATGTTTTGTTTTACGTTTTCCATTTAAACGTTATGAACGTCTTGCTATGCTGCTGTATATTCCCTCAGCTATGGGTGATATAGATTTTTTCATGGTATCATGACAGTAGTACACAAGGGACTCTATGTCCAAATATTAACTTATACCACCCCTAGGGGACTTACAGTTTTGCTATCTGAGCTCCAGAAAAGCATTATCTTCAACTGTTTCAAGCTCGTTGTTTTCAAGTCGACTGAAAAGAATGAAGAGTGGTATTAATATGCTAAATATAATCATGACAATCGTGACAACGTCTTGCGCAAGAACGTGTGTGTTTGCAGAGAGAGCTATAGGCCATTGTGATATGTAGATGGACCTGTAATGCAGGATTTGCTCCCCTTTTCAGACACCCGGTGTCGTGACTATATGGGGCGGTGGGGTAACCTAGTGGTTGAGGCGTGGGTTAGATTCCCCACTTTATGTGAACCCCCTTTCTGTTGTCCTCTGCCGTGATATTGCTTTAATATTGCTAAAAACGCGTAAAACCATACTCACTCACTCACGTGACTATATGAATTGATTAATTCATTTGTCATCATTAATTATATTTCACTCTTACGTCCAATGGAAACTACCATGTCGGTTAATCGAGACTGATTAATTTCTGGCGTTGGCGTTGTGTATTGATTCGATACCAAATATCCGTGAACATAAGGTATCTTAAGTTGAAGTAATATGCTAAAATGAATAACTGAAAAGCATCTAGAGCAGTGACTTATTCTTGTTTGTCCTAAAGAGTTTGCTTCACTCCTGATTTGATAAAGGTCATATCATGCAGCATATCGAGGAATCACGTTGGATCTGAGATGAACATCACTGTATTGATGCAAGTTTAGGAACAACTGTGTGTGCCGCAGCTTCATTGGTTCAAATAATGTTGTTATATGGGATTCAAAGGACAACCGTCCGATGACAACACCGAGACTTTGCATGTAATTTGCATGTGCTTGTCAACAGAACTGCCGTGGATGACACACGTTAGAACTGCAGGTGTCTTTAACTGATTAAGTTTCGGCGCCTGGAGATCGGAAGTTGAGCAATTTGTGATTAGCTTTCATATTGCTTGTCCAAGAAATACTCGGTTGGGTCGATAGCTGATTGGATGAAACATTTGTTGTGTTGAGCATCAATACTTTTCTTGTTTGGTATTTTATCCCAAATTTAAATAACATAATTTAGTGTTCAGTTCTTTGCCTACAATGAGGTCATGAAGGAAGCATCTATTCAAACACATCATAGTATTCCAGAATGGCATGTTATATTTCTTACGGCTGGGCATGTGCGTTTAGACCGCTTTTCACACGATTCCAGTTTTTGTCACTCCGCGTTAACGTAATGTGAGAAGGAAGGGTATTTGGACGTTTACTAATTTTGCGAAAGCAACGAGCATGGTGTGAAAATACCTGTAGAAATAATCGGGACCAATCTGGTTTTCAAATCCAACAACAGGTTTCAAGCATGCAGTACTGGACATCGGGTTTGTGTGAATACAGAGCGATTTTGGAACACTTTGATAACGTTTCGTTTTGATAATATGGATATATGCTTATCTCAAAAAGCAAGACCTGCCGGGAAAACAGTTTTAAGTCCATAGAATGTCATTAGGTATAGCCTAAAAAGAAATATACGTAATAATATATAAAATCACAAACCTGTATACAATTATTCAGGTAAATCTTATAAATATTGTCCGAAATAGGCACATATGTACGATATAAGCAGGGAGTGCGTGAGTGAGGTGAGTGTAAGGCCTCTTCGAACAGTATTTCATTTTTTTCACGACGTCCCAGCTTAATGGGCGACAAAAGGCCCGAGGTGGTGCAGATCTCAGACGCTCCTCACTTTGTGAAACACACGGTGTGGTGCTAACAAACCTCGAAACATAACGGGGACGAACCGAGATTCGAACCCCCGTTCATAGGTGTCTGGCGCGCAGAGCAAGTTACGCAAATTGCGCCTGCACAGTCCCTCAGACGGATCACCCGTGGCCTAGTAGGGAACAAAAGATTTTTTAACATGTTGCCATGTAGCCTGTAGACCAGACCATGTAGCCTATAGACATATATCACTGCCACAGAGAAGATAAACATACTTACAGAACGTACGACTTGACGTTGGAAAAGCTGCGTGTTGGTATTGACTTTATTCTGTTGGTTGATAGATCTCTGAAACAGAACAAGATATAGTATCACTAGACCTATGTGTCTTTATAACAGACTTGTCTGTCAGAGAGACCACCCATCATTAATGTTAACCTTTTCAACAGCTCCATCGTGATTCCATGCAACTACATACGAGATAGCGTCGATGTCCAAAAGGATATTGTGCCATACGTTCCTATCGTAGCGCTGCGACTGTCGTCCTTCCTATACTGCCCAGGGCCTAGATTTTCGAAGCTCTCTTAGCGCTAAGATAGTCGTAAGTTAATGTTAATGTATTGCACTTACGACTATCTTAGCGCTAAGAGACCCTTCGAAAATCTAGGCCCTGTAACATAGACTTACGACAGTCGTAGCGCTACGATAGCTCTGTGAAACGGGGTCCTGAATTTTTCCAGGTGAACAGTTGTCTAGCCTTTGCATATGTTTATGATGGGTGTCAGGGGTGGGGCCGAACAGACACCTTTTCGCGAACATGAAAACATGCTCTATCATCGTATCTCATTGTGTCAATCACTGGAGTGTCTGGTCCAAACTCGATTGTTTACTGTCCGCGTCGTACAGCTGTAATACTGCTGAATACGGAGTAAAAAAACACATACTAATGATGTAGTAAGAACTGTACAATCAATTTACCATATAATAATAACATTAGACATGTTTTTCTTTCTTTTCTTGTTGCCTGTTTTCTTTACTGGACTGCAGTTTTGTAGACTAGGGGCATGCCAAGTGTTCATATCGAATGCCAGAGCGTGACCATAATCAGAATAGCAACATTCCAACAACATCAGGGGCGCACGCGTGGGAAATGGGGAATCGAACGCGGGCATTACTCGTGACGAGCCAACGCTCTAACCTCTAAGCTGCTCCACCTTACCCATAATCATTATGCTATACTTATGTTTAACTTTTCATGAAATAAACACTTTAGTGAGTTTCTTTTAACTGAATCGAGTGTCAGCATCGAAGCCAACCCACAAATAGACTTACTTGCGCATTGGCACGTGGTAAGAGGGTGTGTCTCTTCTGCAAATGGTTATTTAAGTGTTGTTTCTTGCCTGTATACATAGTTACAAGTTTTCGTGCTACACTAGGCATTAGTCAAACAACTGGATTGATCAACAACTTTGTCGACGTCATCATAGATTAAATCAATACTTCTTTCGAGGTTGCAATGGGAATGGGATGCTGTTTCGTGTTTCGGGGAGAAGCAGTCGGGACGAAACAGGTGTCGCGTGTACATTGAACTCTGCCCACACTTGCATCTTACTGCACTGAAGTGAGTGAGTGAGTTTAGTTTTACGTCCCACTCAGCAATATTCCAGCTATATGGCGGTCTGTAAATAATCGAGTCTGGACCAGACAATCCAGTGATCAACAGCATGAGCATCGATGTGCTCAATTGGGAACCGATGACATGTGTCAACCAAGTCAGCGAGCCTGACCACCCGATCCCGTTAGTCGCCTCGACAAGCATAGTCGCCTTTTGTGGCAAGCATGGGTTGCTGAAGACCTACTGCACTGAGTCTACTGCACTGAAGCCACCTGTAGGTTATCACATCCCGGAGCAGCGATACACAGATTGCTTATGTTCAAAACTATAAGTAAAGAGCGTTCTCATGCGATCACATCGCAGAAAATCAATACCGATTTAAGCAGTAAAAAGAGCAAGACGCTAATGTCAAACCATTTCGGAACAAAAATATTTTAAAGTGTCACGTATGAAACTGCTTTAGTTACTTTATGGCATATATGGGCCACCTAAGATGTTAATTAAAAAGGGAAACGAATCAGTGTGACAATCAGAAGTATAACATTTGCGTCACTGTCGTCTGAATGTTTTTTATAACACACAGCCTTGATCTGAACGGGATATATGAACTGTTATCGTTCCACGGTGTGAAGTGCGTTTATCCTGTCGTATATCCTGGTAAATATGTTAACAATGGATACAGACATAAATAATTGAATGGGATTTCATGGGGATTATCTTCCCCAGCCAAGCTTTTGTACGGTACGTTGTAATGACTTCTCCGGGATCACTGTGAAGTGATAACTTCCTGTTTCTAAATTAATACGCACAACGCATTCAAACTCAAGTCTGGGAGTGATACTTTGCGAAACAAGTCAGAGGCTGTCATTAACTTTGCGTAGTTTACTGCAGATTTTCATAAAAAATATTGATAAACAAGACACGATAAGGCCCTTGATGAGCACACTCGCTTCCATTTAGATCGGTGAACATATATGTATGATATCGTTATTACCTTTTGAGACCAACTAGACGTTTAATTGTGGTATATTGACTTCCGATTTAAGTATGTTTTTAGGGATAAACTAGACTCTCTCGAATCTACCATTTATGTGACACTTATCTCTGAACGGATAGCACACTGACGCAAATGAAGATCAAGTGGTCACGAAATGTGATCTGCTTGACACTGTGTATTGGTCTTCGAAGGAAGACCATCTGTTTTATTTGAAATGTGATCCGGATGACACAATATTCTCCTTAGAAAGAGGACCGTCTGCTTTATTTAAAGCGTGATCTGGTTGACACTGTATTCTCCTTAGAAGGAGGACCGTCTGTTATATTTAAAGCGTGATCTGGTTGACACTGTATTCTCCTTAGAAGGCGAACCATTTGTTTTATTTAAATTGTGATCTGGTTGACACTGTATTGTTTATTGAAGGTGGACCATCTTTCTTATTTAAAGCGTGATCTGGTTGACACTGTATTGTTCTTCGAAGGCGGACCATCTTTCTTATTTAAAGCGTGATCTGGTTGACACTGTATTGCTCTTCGAAGGCGGACCATCGTTCTTATTTAAAGCGTGATCTGGTTGACACTGTATTCTCCTTAGAAGGCGGACTATTTGTTTTAATTAAAGTGTGATCCGGTTGACACTGTATTGTTTATTGAAGGTGGACCATCTTTCTTATTTAAAGCGTGATCCGGTTGACACTGTATTGTTCTTCGAAGGTGGACCATCTTTCTTATTTAAAGCGTGATCTGGTTGACACTGTATTGTTCTTCGAAGGCGGACCATCTTTCTTATTTAAAGCGTGATCTGGTTGACACTGTATTCTCCTTAGAAGGCGGACTATTTGTTTTATTTAAAGTGTGATCTGGTTGACACTGTATTGTTTATTGAAGGTGGACCATCTTTCTTATTTAAAGCGTGATCCGGTTGACACTGTATTGTTCTTCGAAGGTGGACCATCTTTCTTATTTAAAGCGTGATCTGGTTAACACTGTATTGTTCTTCGAAGGCAGACGATCTTTCTTATTTAAAGCGTGATCTGGTTGACACTGTATTGCTCTTCGAAGGCGGACAATCTTCCCTGTTTAAAGTGTGATCTGGTTGACACTGTATTGCTCTTCGAAGGCGGACCATCTTCCTTATTTAAAGCGTGATCTGGTTGACACTGTATCGTTTTTCGAAGGCCGACCATCTTCCCTATTTAAAGCGTGATCTGGTTGACACTGTATCGTTCTTCGAAGGCGGACCATCTTTCTTATTGAAAGCGTGATCTGGTTGACACTGTATTGTTCTTCGAAGGCGGACCATCTTCCTTATTTAAAGCGTGATCTGGTTGACATTGTATTGTTCTTCGAAGGCGGACCATCTGTTTTATTTAACTGCCAAGGCACTGTTCATATCCAGCATCAGTAAAAGTAAATTCAAAGGCGTAGTCCTTGGTTACCGACACAGGCGTTTGAGGCAGTTGCAAGACCTCATATCAGTGATTCATATCCCGCCTTGAAGATTCTGAAAGACTTGGCTTGACTTTCAATGAGTCATCGCTGCTTTCAACGTTAATTTGCCTTCACTGCCCTGTGGAATCTGTTTCTGTGGATATATGACACTGGTTGTACTCTGGCGTTGACGATTAATATTTAAAGGAAAGGAGAAAGTTCCATGGGATGCTTGACTTCCTCCATGTTTACGGTTTATCCTTTCAATCGAAAAATGGACAGTCATAGGAAGTGAGTGAGTGAGTTTGGTTTTACGCCGCTTTTAGCAATATTTGAGCACTATCACGGCGGAGGACACCAGAAATGGGCTTCACACATTGTACCCATGTGGGGAATCGAACCAAGGTCATCGGCGTGACGAGCTAACGCTTTAACCACTATGCTACCCCACCACCCCCAGTCACAGGAAGACGGACCGTACTCCGAGCTAAACTATGGGCGTTTTCTACTTAAACAACATTAAACTGAGACTACAGTTCTCGACCTAAATCGCCCACCTCTGTACAACGAAGTTAAGGTTTTATATTATGTCCTAAAATACTAATCTAAACCTCCCTCGGAGAGCGGAAGGTCGCGGGTTCGATCCCCGACCGCGTCATACCAAAAGACGTTAAAATATGGTACTTGTTTGTCCCTGCCTGGCGCTCGGCATTAATGGGTACAACAAGGACTGGTCGGCTCGGAGTCAGTATAATGTGTCTGAGTGGGGTATTCATGCTTCACTGCGGCATGGTATCTCAGTGGGCTAGCATTATAAAACCAGCTTAAGTCTGGGCTAGTACAGGCAGCGCACATACACATACACACGCATGCACGTCGACAGCAAATATTCTCAAGCACGATGTAAAACCCAATTTCACCTCACCTCACCTCACCTCTAAACCTCCCTCTCAAAATGACAGTCAGATATGAATGAAGTTTGCTATTTTTTCAGTAAAAGTGTTGCCTCTGTCACGCTCCATAAATGTCTTTTGTTACAAGTAAAGAAATTCCTTTTGGAGTTAAATTGGTGCACCGTTCTATCCCAGCCTCAAATTGATTTGCTCATATCCTTGATTTCAATACGATCACGCGTCATGAGTACATATCTTGGCAGTGTAAATTCATAAACAACCAAAGTGACTGTCATTTGTGAATTTGCTGTCTTTCTACCCATCGCGCCTCGACATATCTTATCTGGATTGTAACGTAATAGATTTGGGTGTCAACGGTTGTCTAACAGTATTTCAAAGAAAGTTCACATGTGTCAGCAAATGACTTTGTGTGAAGGGACTTTGTGGAGAACTGTTTTCCTTTTCACCTATAAAGTCTTGACAATGCAGTCAGCCTCAAAAGAAGTGCTCCGTGGGGACTGAGGGCTGTATTAATGCAAAGCAGCCTGTGATTTGCGCGAGGGGCGATTTATATGGATCGGGTCGACTAATATGGACCGGGTGGTCAGACTTTGGGACTTGCTGATTACGTATCATTGTACTCCAACCACGTGGGACTTTGCTCACTCGATAATTTACTGGTGGCTATGACAAAGCTGAGAAAAAGTAAAGAATAGGATGTTCAACCATATTCACTCCCAAATTACTTGAACACAACTGTATCATGACCATGGGGCCTTGTGCTTTCCCTCTAACGTTCTTGCGATGCGGGATTGAAAATCTCCTTTCCCCCATTGTCGTTCGAAGTGTACTGAATTTTACCAATGTCACTATGAACACGGAAATAGCACGGTAATTCTTACCTATTTGCGGAGTAGATGGTAGTTTACCTCTGATTAAGTAACACCTGTACATTTAAAACGGTGCTTTTTGATATCACATTTTGGTAAATTAAGACACAGATGATTACAAATGGTCCAGAATTACCATGAACGAAATTGGCATCATTGGTTCGCCATTGTCGTATAACGCATACGTCACTGATTCCACTCTCTTTGACAGGCGCATTTACTGTGCTTTATCTGCAACCAGGATGTAATTGGCACGAACGGGCTATAAACATCGGAAACAGCGAAAATGATAGAAAACGTCATTTGCCCAATATGTCACGCGTCTTTGATGTCTCTGAAGCCAGACACTTACATCAGGTATATAACAAACGTAATGATCGCTGACTGGACTGGACGTAAAGTAATTATTTGTCCCCTAAATAATCCTACTTACTGGCATCCTCTATAACCAGACTGTGCCAGATAACATTACCGCGATATTTATACCATCTAGACACTATATGTCTTCAGAAGACCAGGATGACATGTTTATTGCTTTGTCCAAAAAGAGGTACTTTTGAGAACTTTCATCGCAAGAATGTCAATGTTCGGCCATAGTTAACTTGGATGTTTAATACAAAAGAATGTGTAATTATTACTGGTGTTATATGTAATATGTAATATGTTGACGTTTCCTACATGTTACAGTTGTATTATTGGTGAGTATAGTTTGACGGTGCCTTTAGGACGGTGCAAGATGAAAGACACTAAAAATGGTTTACCATGTTTTGCCCATGATTTGATTCGAACAGAATCCCGAATCCATACTTACATCTCATACATTGTTCCGTTGGAATCTTTGGAACTTGTGTTGAATCTGGAAAAGTCAGGAACTTCCTGCAAGCCGCTTTTCATTATTTTACTGAAATATAAAAAAGACGTATTCTGTGACATTATCTTACAATATAAATGGATACACCTGCAAGAAACAGAACTGCCACATGTACACCAGAGAGGGCGAGAACAGCAATACATAAGAATTGTTCAAAGGGAACGATAGTTATTTCGGTTTTTCTAGTTTTCATCACGGGATAAGGAACACGTTAACCACAAATGAAAACTCTAATGTATCATCACGGTGCTTAATTCAACGTAAATAGATTAAGTAACTTCTTATTTTAAGAACGGACGAACTCCGAGGAGAAATTGCTGTAGTTAATCTCTGAAAGTCGATTCTTCAAAGAGATATTTATGATCTATCACATAAAACTGCCAGCTCCATAAAAACTCCAATGACTGAGGAGATCGGTATGTGGTGTTAAGTGAATAAACCAACTCATCTAGCCCACAACAAGGTAAAAGTCGACATGTGATACAGTCCACAGTCTACTGACAAACGGGAAAGCCTCATCCAAAACACGTGTACCGTAATTACCATGTGAGAAGATCACGCCAATATGCAAATGTTGTCACTTGTGTTTGTTTGGTGGTTGTTTAACAGCGCCGCACTCTGCAATGTTCCAGCTATATGGCGGCGGTCTGTATATATTCGAATCTGGACCAGACTATCCAGTGATCAACAGCATGCGCATCGATCTACGCAATTGGGAGTGAGTGAGTTTAGTTTTACGCCGCACTCAGCAATATTCCAGCTACATGAAGGCGGTCTGTAAATAATCTGTAATGTAAATAACCACCCGTTCCCATTAGTCGCCTCTTACGACAAGCATGGGTTACTGAAGATAAATTCTAACCCAGATCTTCACGATACCCAGCAGGAATTACGTCATTACTTTAACTACCGCTGGTTATACGCAATACTAGCCAATATGAAAAGATTCTCAGCAATGATATAGCTTGAGACAATGGTTCATGATCATTACACTAAGTATGGTAGGAAGTACGTGTCGCACAGTTTGACAACCCTAATTTCAACTTCCTGGAAATCGTCTCCTATAGTCTCCGTTGATAATACCACCACAGCAAATTGAAACAAACAAACATATAGTTTGTCATGTTTATAATTTGAGATTCAGACCAATTTCTTTCAAATAACTTACGCTAAGATGTCCGTTCACACGGGAAAGCGGATCTTTCAGAATTACTGCTTGATAGTGTGAATTCCTTGCAAATTGCTAAATTCCCACCGGTAAGCATAATATGATTGATGGTAAACTTTACTTCACCTGGGACACACTTACGAGGCTCGACCTCCTTTTTTCAAGGTGATATTAGCGAGGCACCCAGCTGTGGCCAACACGACAAGTGACCTCGTCATGTCATGACTGACAACCCAAGTAGGCATGAGCAAATGTTGGTTTCAGTTCACGAAGTTCAATACTTCCTGTCTGGTGCCCCACCGTTTTTCTAATATACCAGGAATGACGTGTGATGACTGGTTTGAAAGCAATGTACTGGATTAGCTGTTGACACATCGTTCTGTCAAGAGCTACTTTAGCTGGAGCATCGGCTTTTGTGTTACATGCTATGCCTACTTGATTTGGTAAACAGCAAAAGAGAATGTCGCACTGGCGAGTAGAAAATACTGTTGTAAAATTGTTCATTGTACATTGTCGAGGATTATTGGAATTCGGTATCTTTGACTTGAAACAGATGAGCTACAACCTGAAGAAATCATTATATTATTTTATATAACATTATTCTCTTTTGGTAAGTATATCCCAACGCGTGTAACATTACGAAATACATGTACAAACAATAGGTTCGAAATATAGTCTGAATTATATAGATATAAAAGATACACAAGTGATTCTCGCGATGTTCCGAATGCATGAGACAGCGTCTCACGCTTTCTTATATGTAAGGTGAGTTTATCCTGTTTACCTGAATGAACCTTTGTTAAAAATCAAGATCGAGTACTGAATGGGCGCATTTTTTACACTACTGACACACATTTTAAAATGTCCTCCACATATAAATATGGAGGAAAATGCAAATAATCAAGGTTATACTCACAGAGTGTTTAATTCTTTGAAAGCCCCAAGGACGCCTTTGTTGATTCTGTGTAATTTTTCACAGTCGATTATCCATCTAAAATATACAACATATTTCAAGCTTTAAGTGTGGCTGGTGATGCATAAACATTACAGTCCGTTTGATACAAAATGATACCGATGAATTGCAATCTAACACAAAAACAAATAGACGTACAATAATCAAACCAACGCAGAGTGCAATAAAAACAACAGACCAACTCTAGAAAAAAATTGCATAAGCTTTGTCACAAAAATAAAACAGTTGTTTAAGAAACTGTCATCATTTATTTGTGCGTTTTCCAAGTTTGGTACAAGGGCGCATTAGCAACTAAAGGAACAGCGCGAAAAATTCAACTTAAACACCTTAAATGTTACATGTTTAACCATGTGTAGTTTCCCACCTCATACGAATGGCCTTGTGGTATGAGTGGACTGCTCGCTGGTTCAAATCTTAGGTAGCACCGATTATGATACGTTGATTGGCTGCCCCATGTAGCGTGGTAATGAGTTTCATAGCGAATTTAATTTCGAATTATGAATTGCTCATGTTGCAACGTTCCTAGATAACCTAGGCGCGATGGGGTAGCCTAGTGGTTAAAGCATTCGTTCGTCACGCGGAAGACCCGGGTTCGATTCCCTACATGGGTGCAATGTGTGAAGTCCATTTCTAGTGCCCCCTCACTCACTCATTACAAGTGATTATTTTCATCAAAGGAATGTACTCACAATATTCTCAATTCCGACATTCCTTTGAAAGCTCCTGGTGTAATCGTCTCCAACTCAGTGAAGTTCCGTATATGGCTGCAATTAAAAGAGACAGTTTGGTTTCAAGACATTAAACAGTGCCAAAAGGATCCTAACATTCACGATCCATAAAGAAAACAGTATCGAAGCAACTCAATACTCAGTAATGTTAAAATATAAATAGATGAAAGCGGCTCGTAAACGCACCTGGACATAATACGACATACAATTATTTAACCTGAAACTAGATACCAGAATAATATTATGCTTTCAGTTATGGCGACATTTTTTACGTGAAAACCTTCCAAACATTCAGTTGGTTGTTGTCAAAGATAAAGAATTATTGCATCCTCGGTGGATATAGGTTATATATGCTCGGTGTCGCTATGTATAACAGGCTATTAATGAACATTCTCTAAACACTAGGCTACCCCAGCGCCCTACAGAAGAATGTGTTGTGGCCTGACTGTAGCAGGAACACTGTGGTAACAGTTTAAAGGAATGGAGCCTGGTCAATCTGTAAGTGAGTGAGTTTAGTTTTACGCCGCACTCAGCAATATTCCAGCTACATGGCGGCGGTCTGTAAATAATCAAGTAAATCAAAACATTGATTACACAACAGTCTCGTTTCCTGCTGACTGGGTTCCATCCCTTAGTACCACAAGCATTGTCACTAAGGTGACATAATACCCCGCCGCAAATTATCAAATCAAACTTATAAAGTAATGAAAGTTTAAGTTAAATGTCAACAAAAACATGACCAACCTCTCTTGATATCTTGCTCTTTAGGTGTTCAAACACACACATATTTTCAAGACTGACTTTGACCTTGATATAAATGTCATAGTGTATGAAATATGCAAAAATAGTACTAAAGAAATTGCTTATTGAAAAACATTTAAGGGAAGTCTTGAAAGTCTGAAGAAAATCCAGTGAACCGTTTTTGAAATATCTTGCTGACAATTCAGGTTAACATGCTGAAATCTTCAAAGTGTCGCTGTGACCTTGAAAATTAAATGAAGGTCACCAAAATCAACTGGGCCCCGCGCCTTCCCTAGATAAAGCTTGGTGTTGAATATGAAGAAAATCCAGTGAATGGTTCTTGAGGTATCTCGCTGACAAGCATAACATGCAGGTTAATATGCTGAAATCTTCAAAGTGTCTCTGTGACCTTGAAAATTAAGTGAAGGTCACCCAAATCAACTGGGCCCCGCGCCTTCCCTAGATAAAGCTTGGTGTTGAATATGAAGAAAATCCAATTAACGGTTCTTGAGATAGCTTAACATGCAGGTTTACATGCTGAAGTGTCGCCATGACCTTGAAAATTATGTGAAGGTCACCAAAATCGACTGGGCTATGCGCCTTCCCTAGATAAACCTTTTTTTTTTATTGAATATGAAGAAAATCCAGTGAACCGTTAGAGATAGCTTAACAAGCAGGTAAAACGTGAAAGTCCCCATGTGACCTTGAAATGAAGGTCAAGGTCACCAAACCTGACTTGGACCTTTCTTATACTGTGATGAAGCTAGGTACCAAATATGAAAAGAATCTAGAGAACAGTTCTTAAGATATTCCAATTCGTACGGACGGACGTACGTACGGATGTACGGACGGACGGAGCCTAATACTATATCCCCCGCTTCGCGCTAAACGCGCGGTGGGGGATAATAACCACTCCAGAATTTTGAGACCAACTCATTCAACTGGATATATAAATATTAATCAGTATTATTTGATACATTTAATCACTTGTATTTTGCAACACTACGTTCCTTCTAACCCTACAAAGACGTCGTGCAGCGTGCTCTGTCGTACAGCGTGCTCTGACAAAAGGAAATATGAAAATCGTGGAAATCTCAAAACGAGCCTCGGCCGCTAGAAAGGTTTGGCGGTCTGGTACGGACTTAATATTATATCAATCACATTGTGCGTTACAAACAATACACTGAATAAGCACAAAGAACACATAACAGGTGTAACCAGTGAGCCAGATGAATTGTGAATCATTTTACGACCTCATCAAACAGAGACAGTCTGTGATGTCTTAATTAAGGTCATGGTGCCTAATCCTCGTCATAAAATATAGAAATACGATTTTTTTTCACTTTCACACGAGAAAATTCGGATCGGCTGAAAAGTAGGTCTTTGTCTGAATTGGTTCATGAGTCTCAAGTTTCTGTTTGCTGAACCAGACAATCCAGTGATCAACAGCATGAGCATCGATCTACGCAATTGGGATACGATGACATGTGTCAACCAAGCCAGCGAGCCTGACCACCGGATCCCATTAGTCGCCTCGCAATCAATTCTAACCCGGATCATCACGGGTCTGGGGATTGCGTTGTGGACATGAAGTGGGGATTGTCTAGTGTCCGGAATATTGCAGAATGTGATATTGTTGTGGTCAAAATATTAGAGTTGCATTAGTCAATAGGGTTGAAATAGGAGTCAATGTAAGGAAACTTCGGTTATAACGAACTTAAACGGACCACTAAGTTTATTTCGTTGTAACCGTATACTTCGTTATAAGCATTTCGACTAAAATATATAACAAGTGTCTGCGGCCACAGTTCATTACATCCATCAGTTCGTTGAAAGCGTGTTCGTTATAAACCGAGTTTACCGTACCTTGAATGTTACACAGCTCATAGGGGCGTGTCACGCTTAGAAACAGCGTTAGAAAGACAGATAGCTATATAGACCCTACCCTAGTACTTTTATATAGTACTAGGGTAGGGTCTATATACCTATATGTCTTTCTAACGCTGTTTCTAAGCGTGACACGCCCCTGTGACACAGCTACTGAGCACATTTCCATTCCTCAGATTTCTCATTCTGTTGGTCGATATTTCTAACATGACAAGAAGACAAACTTTGCTGTTTGCTACATTAGGTATAGGAAGAATGTAAAGCTGAAAACATACCATAAATGGCATAGTATGCAAGGGAACATTACGAACGCTACTGAAACTAATGGATCTAATTTTAGCCACAGACGCTGATGAACATGTTACATCTGCCGATCTGTGTGTCACCTTGCTGCAGACAGAGAATCTTTCTGATGAGTAGAGAGCTAAGTCAAACTGCCCAGGCTCAGACAACTTGCATTACATTGCATGGCGACCTGGCATTTCTAAATAATTAAAAACAACCATTAGTGATAATTATAACCTTCAAACGTAATAGGAGAATAAGGCAACCAGGGATAACATTGTTTTAGTTAATTATCTTCTTTTTCAAAATATCTTTTCGAAATATTTAACCTTAGATTAAATGTCAGAGGTCGTTTTGTTGTCTGAAGTAAGTGGGCATGAGATACTGATTTATATTCTATTTACCATTAGGATAACCTGATCTTGTGTAATCACTTTCAGATAGTTGCACGTTTTTTTTGGGCCATTTTCAGTACTGTTTGGTCTAATCCATTGTGCATGACGTCACAAACAGACTACATTATTATCTGAACAATAAGCCTCCTTCCGTAGAGTTTATCTGAAGTGTCAACATTACAGACATGTATTTTTTTAATATTCTAGCGTGATATATAGAAAACCGTGTTGAAGCTCGGATATTACGAAATAACACCATTCATTCTCTCTGTAGCCCGTAAGTCCTCGAAGCTGGCTCTTCCCTAAATCTACAATGCGACGAGACGCGTTGAAGTAACCTCACGTTCGATATTATTGCGTGTATATTCAATCACAACGTCATGCTCATTTGTATAAGAGTGACAAATGGGAAAGCATGACGGGTCGTAGACGTTGGAATGGTCGTTACGACGACGTATGCGTTTAAATTGTGAATGCTAGATCATTTCACACATTATTCCATGTGATGTCAAAATATTCAAATAAGTCAATACGAAAGATTCATTTTCTATCACTTTTTACTTATCATATTAAAAAGACTCATAACACAATTGAATGGGTTTTTAAACATAAATATTGAATCCATTCGTATCGCCTTCATTCCACAAACGGTCCCTATGGTATAAAGCTTTAGCATCATCAATTAGGTGGACAAACAAATATATTTTCGGAATTGGACTAGTCATGAGCGACATTTTGAAACTTTCTGTCTTCTCTGAACAGTCGCGTGCAAATACTTAGATAAATGAAAGCCTGGGGGCATTCCAGCTGCTATGGATTGTTTAAACCCTTGATGACGATTGTTAAACAGCTAGCAACCAGTGGATATCAAACAGTCGGAAATTAACTGACATAATGCCTGAACATTAAGACATTAATAAGAATTATCTAAAGGAAAATCATTAGCATTAATAATTGCTTCTGGATGTAAAGACGAGAAATGTGAGGGCATTGTTTACGCACGTTTGGATTGCCCTTTATAAACGAGGGCATATTGGATTTTATTAATGCCAGGCACACACTAATAAAATGTCATTATTCAATCTGTCAGGACGAATATTAGTATTTATTAATATGTAACCACAGATAGACTTCATGGAAGTGAATTACGATATTAAAACACCCACACGACTGTGATTGATCAGTCCCTGAAACATGCATGCATACTTTCAGCGTCATCGCCCTAAGTTACAGAGCAAAATATGACTGCAACCCAAAGAATTCATTCTTAGAGTGTTTAGTTTAAGAGCGCATTACAACCCTCATTATAAAAAATGTAATGGAAAATAAGATCACACAACTAATCAATAAATAATCTGGTGGATGTGTACACACCCGCTATTAAAAAGCGAATAGTCTATTTATATTGAAAAGTTTTGTATTTACTTATTGGTACACTTCTCATTTGAAGGCCTGTGTAATACATATTTCCGTACCTTCCTTGTCCATACTCCATTATAGTCATCAATCGTTATTCCCGTGCGGTGTCCCTGCTCAGGCTTAAACATTCTAACGGAGCATCAATTTCATTTATTGACATAAATGTGTCAACCCCGAGGCAAAATGTTGTTTTTAAATATTTAATCATTCCCCCGAGCTTCCAAAGAAAATTGCTTTCGAAAGCAATTTCAAGTCAACGATACCTTCGACACTGAGTTATAACTACCTCGATGCTGTGTGGTAAGTTGC